GTTCTTACCTCTAAATAAAATTCTCCTTTCAGGACTAAGATTCAAGTGAAATGAAATTAACATAAAGAAGGAAAAGAAAGAGCGTTGTAGCTTGGGATTGCTTTTTGCATCTTACAGATTACATTTGATCTTGATTTGTTCTTCCCCTAAAGAAAGAGGAAAAAACATTCACATTTTTAATGGGACTCCTGCAGTTCCTTTTTGATTACATGGGAGATTGGATGATAAATTATAAGCAAATGAAAATGCAGTTTAATGATCCTGAGTACTGCAATGAATTAAAACACACTTTGTCACCCATGATCCCTAAAAGAGAAGTTGGGGCCAGAAAGATAACAGTTTAAAAGGGTAAAAGAGAAGGGGATTTTAGTTTCTTTTTTTTCCTTTTTTTTAAATGAAAATATGTTGAGTTCACTTTGAAAAGAACAGGAAGCAGGTTTTGTAGCCCCTTCAGAATGTTCCTGATAAATCTTTTCCACGCCCCAATAAAATACAGCATCCATTTGTTTCAGCTGTCAGTCTGGACTCTGGCAGTATTCCAGGCAGTGTTTTTGATCATCATATAAATTTGCCGAAAATGAGCTGCTACGAAAACTCCTTATGCCCTGTGTGGCATAAAGAGACAATGGCAAATAGTTCTTTCACTGTTCTGAATACCAAAGCAGTTCCTCATAATTATTTCACTTTCTTCAGTTTTAAGGTCAACAATGCAAGATAAAGCACAGAAATTCCACTGGGACAACAGACACAGAGCAAAGAAAAATGAATAAATTAACACAGAAAATATGAGTATAATGCTCAGTTTTTCAAACTGACTTGTCATTACAGGAAAGTAACATTCTTTCTTACACAGCACTATAAACTCTTACACAAAGTTCTGCTCTTTTTCATGTGGGAAACAATCCCTAACAAAGGATTATCTGCATTAGAAAATTCCAGTGGTTGCAAATACGCAGCAATTCCCCCTGAATAGCTTTAAAACTCATGCTGCACATTTACTACATTACTTTTCAGTAAGGTTAGTCAAGTCCATAGGACAATACAAACTCACGGCTGTACACTACCATCACACATTTGGCAAGTCTCAACATACGGGGTTTCTTCCCCCAAAATTCATTAGCAATTCTCATTTTAACTTCCTCTCTCTTTCTCAGGATAAACTGCATAATTAAAGTGTATCACAACAGATTAATAAAATTTTACTGTATTCAGTTATGAAGCAGTCCAGTATTCCTATTTTTAGATCAGAAGATACCAGAAAAAAAAACTCCACCAAATGTGACCTTTGTAACAAACCTTATCAAACCTATCTTAAACAGCATTTCACTATAAAGCAGTAAAAATTAAGAGGAGTATTACAAAGAAAATAACCTATAGCAACCTACATGATGTTCAGAGTCATACAAGACACTAACATGTTGCAATGGTCTGATTTATCTAAGCAGCAGTCTTTTTAACAGTCCTCATGTTTTCCAACTAGGAACAACAGTTGTCATTGAGAAAGAGTCATAAGTCACAGAAGAAGGGGAACTCTCTATGGTACATTCTCCATTAATAACGAAATGTTTTAATAGAAAGATAACAATTTACAAGTAGAGTTATTTTCTCATTTCTTAGTCTGCTGTAAATTTCACAGAAGAAAACCAGGCCACTGTAAAATTCAGGGTGTTTTATTATTACATGATAGCTGAAAAGCAATCCAGCAACTACAGCATTGGGCCCTTATAAAGATCTGGGCTGTCTATCCTTTTAGTTAGTATTTCAATGTCATTTAGGTAAAAAATAATAAAATCAATTATTTGCAAGAGTGCCTTAAAGGTTATTGCAAATTTATCCATTATGCAACCACAAAAATTTATAAACCATCTGCTTGGCTAGACTCCTTTTTCACAGAAACTAGCTAGCATAACTTAAGCCTGCAAATCAGATTTGTGTATAGATCTCAAATAACAAATACATAAAATGTTAATAAGAAAAATAGTAACAGTTTATTGATTCATTTTCCTTTCTATCTTGGTAATTTTGGGAAGGTGAGGGGAGGAAAAGCAAGACAATTTGTTTTGGATTAAAAAAAAATTTAACTTTTAGTAACTGCAAATTCCTGAATGGTGGTTTTGGGTCTCATTTCTTGCACACATGTAACTTTCCATATATACATGAAGGAAATTGCTGCTACATGCAGTTTAGCTTCTGTTAGTATACAACAAAGAACATTTTACTTAGTTTATTTCTTCAACAATTAAAAATAAAAAATTATAGAAAGCAACACTAAATCTGAATTCTACAATAAATAAACAATGCACACATTCTGCAAGGAACAAGATGTTCCTTCCCATTTGTAGAGGAATCTGCAGAAAGACCTGTAGGAAAAGACTCAGGAGAGAAGAGACCTGGCCCTCTAAAAACCCAGCCAATGGCAGGGAGACCAGATGCATTTTTCTCTGTCCCTTAAAGAGAGATCTGTACAACACACACATACATTACATTAAGACCTTTCCCTAATTTCTTGATAGACAGATTGTGAGAACAACCAAGTCTTTCCTTCTGTACTGGAGCAATCTGTGATGGATTGACACTGGGAGGACATGTACAGTGAGACCAGTGTGGCCAAAAGCCAGTGAACAGTAAGCAAAGGATGTTTTTTTCTCACTAATATGTAGTTAGTTATGGTCAAGGCCAGGTGAGGTGGGGCTCTGAGCAACCTGTTCCAGCAGGAGGTGTCCCCTGCCCATGGCAGGGGGATTGGAATGGGATGATCTTCAAGGCCCCTTCCAACACAAACCATTCTATGATTCTATATATCCATGACATGCTACATTGTTTACTATTTCAGTTAATCCTTCCTACATCACCCATCTCGACATTTCTTTATTGCAGGACATATCACTCATGTTAACACCCCATAAGAAAAGGGGTTAAGTAATTGTCCTTGACAACTTTGTTTCTCTGTTACTTGCTGGCAACATTTGGGCTATTTTTACATGTACCAAAGGATGGACATGTAATTAAAGATGCATCTGCAACCTTTCTTTACCATTTTCAGTGATGCCTGTGTGCATTACTTTTAATGCCATTTACACCTTCAACAAAGATATGTCTGCAGAGCCAATTTACAACAGAATCACCAACAGAGCATCACCTCTCTATATAAAGTGCTAAGCTTCAATATCTATTTCTAAGACCTGAATAAATTAAGACTCTGATTTGAAATCATAATTGGAATGCAAAGCAGAATTAGCTGCTATGGAACCACACCAGAGGAGTCTCAAAAGACACAGTAGGTGTGCAGCCAATGTGTATTTGGGATATAAAAATGGCAGAAAATTTGCAAACATTAGATAGAAGTCCGAAATCACAGGAGAAATCCCTTGTTTTATGGAGATGTTTCTAATTTTATCCTCAGGGAAAAAACTGTCAGGCATTTATAAACTACATGTGTTCTCAGGCATACATTCACAGAACACAATTCTGAGTTAAAACTTGACATTTTTAGTTCTTAAACAGAATGTCAGAGTTAAACTGCCTAAACACCTTCAAGCATAAACACATTTGAAACAAAACAATGAAGATACTGAGAAAGTTTAGTGTCAAGTAGAAGACAAGTTTATCATTATCCTGTTCCTCAAAGGGCAGTGTTAAATACCAAGTCAGAGCACTATTAACTACCATTTTTTGTCATCTCATCCAAATTTGTCACTAAAAAAAGAGAAAAAACAACAGAATCGCTGCTTCTCTACTCATCTAAGTGATTTGACATTTCTCTGGCATCCTTATGTTTTCTGCTCATATGGTCAGTCTTTTAGTGTGCCAAGAAGTAAGAGCACGTGGGGAAGTGTGATGGCTTGAAGGCAGTCCCTTGTTTATCTGGGTGTGCAGGCAGAGCAGCCAGCCCAGGGGGTTTACAGACCACTGAAACAGGGCAACAGTTCTCTTTGGAAGAAGCTTCTTTCTGAAGCAAATTCAGTTCCAAGAATGTTTGGATAGACTTGAACTGCAAAATAGGCATAAGAATCAGAAGAAAGTTCTGACTCAATTCCTCCTCAATTGCGTTAGCATGTTTCAACAACTTGTACAAGGCTCTGGAAAACCTGAACCAGAATGATAAAGATGTTAAAAGATCAGGATTTACTTTTATCTTCAGAGATGTCTGGAGAAGCTGATTACTAAAGTACCCCTTAAAACCAAGGACACTGCTTTCAGTCTCCATTTTAATAAAGTTAATCGTGCATACAAATATAATAATCTAATATAATCTAATTTAATAAAGGCAGAAAACTCCACAAGGTCAAATATTTCATCAGCGCTCTACAGTCAGTATTCAAGAATTATAAGCAATCTAAGTCTTCCTGAATAAAATGGTTATTAAAGAAGCTTGCTGTATAATTCTCAAGATAAATCCAGTGATATACAAAACAAATACAGTGTTGCATATTAAGCAGTACTAGAGGCTACCAAACCAACACATTTTGCAGCTGCTGAGAAAATCAACAAAGAGGTAAAATTGCCCAAAAACTGTTATCATCTCAGTAATTTGAAATTCACTCCAGCCATTGCTAAATAAAATGAACTCAATTCCAAAAATAAAGCAACCTTAAAACGAAATAATACATTCTGGTAAAGAAAAAAATATATATTAATAAAGGTGACCCAAACAAGAGTTATTAAAATTGAGACCTTACCCAGACATGAAGTTTCTTTAAATACTTCTTATTCAATACTGAACTCTATTGTTAAAGGAAATAACATTTTATATCTTATCAGGAGAATAATAAAGCTTCTGTTGTCGTTAAAGGCTACAGTAAAATTCTCAATAGATTTGTGGAGCTCAACCACTCCAAAGCTAGTAGAACCCAGCATTTTCAAAGATTTTCAATACAGGTGACTTCTGAGGTCAGCCATAGGAAGGCAGAATAAGACAAATAGAAAATAATACATTTCATATTATGGAAACAATGAAACCTATGGAAATATGCTGCAAAAAAAAGGAAAAAACCAATTACCTGGAACAAGTTCCATAACAATATATATAGGCTGTCGTTGAGTGCAAACTCCTATAAGTTTTACAATATTAGGATGATCATATTGTTTGAGTATTCTGCAAAACACACAAGAAGTTTATTATATTAATAAACTTTATTGTACAGGCTGATTAAACATTATAGGAGAATATCTAAAACCCTTAATGTTATTTTAATGGAAGATATCATTATTGTTATCAAAGAAAAAATATCACTGCTGTTATCAAAATCAATGATTTGATAGAATCTGTTAGATCAATCACCACTCTGTTTTAAATGAACATCATAACTAATTCACTAATAAATAAAAAAATATTCTTATTGTAATTTTACCATTTGTCTATGTGACACTTATCTATATATAACTCAAAAATGGCCTGATAGAACCCTTGTATATAATCAGAATTTCAGTGGTGGACCAGAAACAGAGCAACATCAAAACAGTATGCACAGCTTGTCTGTATGTTTCCCTGCTGCACTGTTCAAAAGAACACTTGTTACAATATTACTTAGAGAGATTAATAAATACAGTAAGTTTCAGAAGACTATAAGGACATCATTTTTGAGAATTAAATGAACTATTTACATCTTTTGACACAATGCTTTAATAAGAAGATTTACAGCCTAAAACAGCATGCAGAAGAGCAAGAAAAAATTCTAGAGAGACCTTGTAACTCAAATGTTCCTTCTGATATTTGCTGACTCAAAGCACCTCCTCTTTTTCCCTTTTTCCCAAGGAACAAGAGTAAAATACTAACCTACACACACATTTAGCAAAAAATAACACATTCCATTTTTTCAGACCATTTTTTCCCATTAGTGTCAAGCTGCTTAAAAAATGACATATCTCTGCTGTTGCCAAGTTACAAGTTTTTTTAAATTATTCAACAGATAGGATGGCTGATCCTCATTCTATAAACGCAGATGGTGTCTTTTATTTTCCAATACTCATCACACTAACTTGGGAGTGGAAATCAAAGCATATGGATTCTCAAAGCAAGAAGGAGCAAGGTAGTTTAAAAATTATGACATTTATCTCAAGATGGCCCTCACCCTGGAGTCTAAGAATCTACCTATGTACATTAGCGGATACTCAGAATGCTTTGCACATTGTATCATGTCATGTAATTTGGAAAATAAGCATATAATCTCATGCTGATTGACACAGTAAAAAAAAAAAGCTCTACTGGAGCAAACTCTTCTTACAAAGAGAAAATTACTGAATGGGGCCTATACCCCACTAAGAGAAGAAATCTGCGCACATTTGATCACCTCTACTAGCCATGAAATATAAGGCAGGAGTTAGGCCTGGTATAATCACACTTAAATTAACAACATTTCCACTATTCTTATCCCAATCCTCATGGTATATCTTAGAAGTTCTAAATGAAAGCACTTAAGACAACAAAATTTTATTTTACAGGCATGGCTTGCTTTGTCAACAAGATGGTTTCAGCAAGTGAAAATGCTACTGCATTCACATGTTAAAAATGCCAATGTTTAGTTACGAGGGTGACAGCTGTGGAATGTACTGAGGGAGAGAAAAGAAGGAAAAGTTTGACAACTGCTTTCTTGAATTTTTTAGAAGGTCAGGTTTTGTAAATGCATCTGGTGATAAAAACTGAAAAAAACTGCCACAAGTAATTTTAGAGAACCTACCTGGCTTCAGACAGAAATTTTATTTTCAGTTCTTGAGGAAGATCTTCTTTGCAAGTTTTTACAGCAACAGGGGTTTTATCCTTTAATGTTCCTTTATACACCTCACCAAAATTACCCTGAAATCAGGAGAAAAAAGATCATTCTAGGTAAATAAAATCTTAATGAATTGTCAGAAGAAATAATGCAGAGTGCTACTGAAAGTGGACCAGAACTCTGGAATGTGTTTATGAAGCCAAATGAGGTTTTCTTTCAGTATCTGTCCTAATCAAAGCCATTCACTCTGACATAGTACATCTATTATGTGGACACAGCATATGAGTTCTGTTTTGACCTTGCTGGAAGGAGGAAAAAAACACCATTAATTAAGTAATTAGAATTTTCTCATAAAACCTTTTAGTGGCTTTTCAAATCAACTGTAGTACTTTGTTCTTATTCTTACTCTTGCCCTCTTTCATTTTCACATTATTGTATTTTGTGAATAGTTTTTAACTTGCAGTCTGGAAGAGACCAAAACCTGATCTCAAAAACTGTGACACAACACACCAAAATAACACAAACATTCTCATATACAAGAAAGAAAAACCAGAAAATACAAAGAAGGAAAACACTGAATATTAATTTTTATAATAAATTAAACCCACTTCAAAATGTATTGCTGTGTATGGTGATCCAGAATTTTTTTAAAACTCAAGCTCAGCACTGCTCTATAAAGACAAATCTGTAAGGCTGTCATTTGGACAAGACTTTAGAAAGCAGCTCTTTTTATCATCAGACATTCTAGGTAGTGAATAACATACCCCCAAGGCAACTTAAGTTTTTTTAGCTTTCATAGAAGAAAACTGAAGTACTAAATACCATAAAAGACTTCACCTGATGCATTTTTATGTAATGAAAAGAAAAGGAAAATTAATTAGGACACAAATTGAAAGAAGAAGGAAATTGTGAGGTATAAAGCACTGGTATAAATGAAAAAAAACCCTCAAGAGAAGGAAACAAGAAGAAAACTACAGATCTAATACATCTTGTAAAGCTTTGTATTTCCCAAAGAATAAGCACAACTCAATTTTGAAACTATGTCTGATTAATTTCTACACATACTACAGTTCTGTGTCCTGATGTCTGGGGCTGCATGTGACTTCAAAAAAAATCTGCTGGAGATGTTTGCCTTCCTTTCCTGAGTGATGAAGATTTCATTACATCATGCAGCTGAATTTAGTGTTGCCAAAGAAAGATGACAGAAAAGGAAAAAAAGAAACTCACAGATGGAAGAGAGTAACATGCTTCCAGTAACAAGGAAACAAATGCAGGGCTGAACACGCCTGCAGAATTGTTTTCTGTATGCTGGGACAAGGAAGATGTAGCCGGCAAGTGAGGCTCAGGATCTCTGACAGCCCTTCTAAAGCATTTCCAGGGGCTAGCACATTACCTCTCAGATCTGAAATGGCATGAGGCACCCAAGGTAAGCAGGCGAATTGCTCCCAGGCCACTTTACCATTCTGGTCAGAAGTATTTAACAGTGAAATCTGAATCCATCCTGAGCTTTATTTAAGTCTTGAAAATGCTTTACTTCTTTATTGACAATATTAAAGTATTACTGGATAGATAATTTTTAGTAAAACACATTCCAATTCTGCAATTTTCATTTTGTGGGTATTACTGAATTAACACTGAGTAAATAAACTGACCATTCACCCCTGAGGTGCATCTTTTCTAAAGCTTGCATCTTTTACACATTAGAATTTTGTGATTTCTTCCTCATCTTTTCCAGGCCACTCAAGGTTTTGTAGAATCTGATTTCTCACTTCTGTGGTGAATGGCTATAGTTTATTTCACATTTTGTCATACAGATGTCAATATTCCTGTCATTCTTATATTTTTTAGTATGAACACATCTTCTTAGAGGTGAATGCATCAAGAATCATGCTGTGTTCCAATAAAGCTCTTAGCCTATTCTGTATTTCTTAAAGAACATCCTTCTATAATTAAAATTCTGAGCTGCCTTTACTGAATGTTAAAAATGCTTTGTGCCAAAAACATGCAATACCATGTAAACTGAATTTACTAAAAATGCTTTTCAAAACTAATTCACATTTATTTTTTAACAAGTCAAAGCTTTTTTTTTGTGGCTGGAACATCTTCATTTTTCTCCCTTGATACCATCCTGTTTAAGAATGTGAAGATCCTAAGTACCTGTATTTTATGAAGGCACAGCTCAATATGGTCATATTTTTTGTCATCTTAATCTCCGAAAAAGCTTTTATACTGGGAAACAGAAGTTTATGGAAATATTTTTTCCCCATTCTTGAATTTCTTACTGATTTTTTTTTTAGTGTGCACCATAGTAAGAAGGCAATTAACTACTTTGATTTGTCTCTTCCTCATTTAATCTTATTTTCTCAGTTTTTGGAAAATCTTTTCAAACTACTCTGTGTCCAGAGCAGCACCTGAAATGGTCTTTGCAGGTGCAAAGGTGCCAAAAAAGTGAGGAATTGCTTGATTTTAAAGATCTGTAGTTCCTAAGCAGACTTTGTAAACCACATGTTTATGAACTACACAAGATTTAATAAGATTGTGAAATTATCTGATTCCATCAATGAATGAGTGAAAATAATTATGCACAAGCAATTAGTATTTGTTTTAATAAATAATTATTTAGTCATCTCATCATATCAAATTTTATACACAAATGCATAAGCATACACCTATTTCTCTATGTGTTTTTATTTATATTTTGCAACATTTGACTCCAACTACAGAAAGTAAAACAGCCACATCGTGCTTTATAGAAATCTAGTTACCTCAAAACACTTCCAAAAGAGAAAAAGATATGTATGCTAGTTAAATATTTTCAGCACAATCATGATAATGTTTACTAGTAAGTGTGTATTATGTCTGTTTAAAGCATAAGATTGTCTCGTGTATTAGTGTATAAAATTGACATAAAAATTACATACTAGAGCAATTTAAAAGAAAAGGTATACAGAAATAGCTTAATTATTAAAGTATACTTACTCAAATGTTATTTAGCTCACTTTATTACTTACTTTGCCCAGTAATTCCCCCAGCGTGACATCTTCATGATTGAGAACCCACTTCTTATCCTATGAAAAGGAAAGCAGAAATTTCAGTCTGTGCAAATATGCCAGATACAGTTTCTCTAAGACACATTTCAGAAGTGGAGCTGAAGAAGTATTACATTTAGAGCACTCAGTCACAAGCATACCAAGAAATTTTCCACATACGCATTTATAGTTCAAGAGTTTAGAAATCTTGCTATACAATAAAATAGTGGGTAATATTGTATAGCAAATTTTTATTAGAAATTAAGCCTACAGCATGATGGCATGTAGATAGATTAGCACTATGCAAAGTTTCACACAAGCTCTGGAAATAATATTTAGCACCCTGATTTTAACAATTTGTCAAGTGAAAATTAGATAAGAAAACTTCATTTTAGTATATGAAGTAACTTACTACTAAATTAAAAAAAACTCCCACATTTTTCTCCTCAGTGCACATGGAAATGAACTGATCTTCTGACTTGTCAACAAGACACATATTTGCATCTCTTATATCTTTTTTGGAAGTTGGAAATAATACAGGCAACTGCTTGAAAAGATAACACATGACAGGTAAAGCATTTGTCCAGGAGTTGACCTCCCCCTGTGCTGGGCACTGATGTCCAGTTCTGGGTCCTTCCCTTCAGGAAGAATATTGAAGGGCTGGAGCATGTCCAGAGAAGGGCACTGGAGCTGGGGAAGGGCCTGGAACACAAGTTTGATAGGAGGCAGCTGAGGGACCTGGGGGTGCTCAGTCTGAAGAAAAGGAGGTTGAAGCTAGGTGGGGATAAGTCTCTTCTGCCACATCCCAAATGAAAGGACAAGAGGAAATGGACTTAAATAGTGCCAAGGGAGGTTCAGATTGAAAATTAGAAAAAAATTCTCAACTGACAGAGTGGTTAGGAACTGGAGTAATCTCCCTAGGGAGGTCATGGATTCACCATCTCTGGCGACTTTTTGTCGAACATGAATTCAACAAATCTAAAAAGGGGCGGGGATCATTGCTATTGTGATTTCTACGCTTTTGTCCATAAGTCGAATGTTACAAGTGTGCATTCCAGAGACTCTCTGAACCTCTCATTAACCCAAACTCGCAGCACACAACACCTCTCAGTCCCATCCCAAGAATTCCTGTACCACACTACCATGCTGCATGATGGAAACCAATCTTCACTGTATCTCTTCCCCAGGTGGGAAACTGTGAGACTTAGGAGGAAATTCTCAAAATACAATTCTCAATACAATGTATATTTTTCCCCTATACACAGATTAAAACTACAGCCTCACTGATCAAACATCATAAGAAATGTATTTCCTTCATCTCAGTTGATACTTTTTGCAGAATGAATGTCACATTCAGAAGCTGTTATACTACAAATAGATAGGAAGTGCCATCAAACTGCACACTCTTTCAATAATAATACATTTAAGAAAATAATTTGCAAAGAAAGCTGTAAAAAAAAAAAAAACACCAACACAAAAACTATTACCTAGAGGTATTAACATAAGAGTTTTTAACATTGAAATAAGTGTGGCAGAGCCAAAAAGTTAGACAATTAAAATTGAATGGATTTTTTACTGCTTAACTACAAGGATTCTGTACTTCAGTGAATAACTTTTTGAATAAATTGACAATGTGACATTTCAAAAGCTTGTTTATGAAGGAAAAAAAATCCGATAATTCTTCAGAAAACTAACAAAAGAAAATAACAACATAAAGTGGAATCAAATTATCTGTTGAAGGATTTATTATCACTGCACCTGCACATTAATCTGTACTTTTTATGAAAGCCTTCAGTCATTTCTTTATACCACTTTAACTCATTTATTAATTTATGGTGGTTCTGCCAGATTTTTCACAGTCATTGAATTAGTCAAAGCTTGATCAGCTTCATTTGATACTACTCCTATAAACTGCACAAAAGTAGTTCCTTCAGCAGACAGTAAGAAAAAAATCTAACAGAAGAGAGAGTCATATACATCATGCCAATGTACAATTCTGACGTTAAAAAGGAAACAAACCAAATTTTCTAATTTGCTATGTGTTAGACATTAATTTAAATAGTGTTCAAAACACAGTGTCATTGGTCAGATAATTGCCTTTAATTAGTAAACTATAATATGAACAGTAAGGTCAAAAATAATAAGACATTCTACTCCAAGTTTGTTGTCTCACTAAATCTACTTGAATTGCTCTGAGTTTAATATGACATCAATTAATAATCTGAATAGCTGTCAGTAATTAAAGACATCAATAAGGCACACTTATCAATGTCAAAATCAATGCATAAATACTAGCACTCATAAACAAAGGTTATGAAATAATGTGTCTGATCACGAAGTTCATCATCTTCTCTAACTGCTTAATTCTGATTGTGACTAGAATGTAAGGATTTTTCCAGCTGTCAAATGCCATTACTCTACAGATTCATCAAGTGTGCAAAAGATAATGAAAGTTACAAAAGAAATGTGACAGCAGAATGGGTCAAAAATATTCTTGAATGTAGGTGTAGATCAACAGACACTTTAATGCATATCAATCCAAGTCACAGAATTTTTCATTTCAATAGAGTTAGTTGCTTCTAAATCAAATGGAGCAAATCCAGTACATTTTTGTACCTAATCAAAGTAATCTGAATGACAGCAAGGAGAGCTCCTGAGACTATTAATGCCTATTAATTTCACCCAGAAGGAAGACATTTATGATGCAGCGCTTTTCTTGTGACATCGCTATCTCTTCGCCTTGTGCTTGTTCAGATTAATTTTGGACCACAGAATATAAAAACACTTCAGAAAAATTCAGTCACACAAATTAGCATTTGAGCATACTCATTTGTAATCTTAATTATATACCTTATTTCCAAATGGAATAACTTGGGGCATCTACAAGCTTACCACATTCTGCTTTATTTCTGTCCTCTAGCTTCCCCCAGGAGGAGAAACTGAATTACATGAACATCACACTTGAAGAACAGGTTTACTGATAGGAATCCTATCAGTTTATCTTACTTTGGAGGTACTTCTACATCTGTTGGTCAAACACTGAGAAACAAGTTGTCAACCAGACAGTTCACAAAGGGGAGAACTTGGTCAGCCATGACAGTTACTCCTACCCAATAGCCAGGCACTTGATAACCCACATCACACACAAGGCTTTTATATGCAGCAGCTTGCTAGTGACTATCTTTCTAGACTCTGGGCAACCACTCAGCACACTTGTCTGATTTCAACAAAGAAAAGCATTTTCAAAGAGAAGAGTTATTTCATAAGTTAATTGTAAGTGACAAAAACCAAACCTCAAACAGACCAGTAATTAAAGAAATAAAACTTTCAATTGTGAAAAGCAATACTTAGAAATAATAAGAAATGTCTCCTTTTACTCATAAAGTATTCTGGATATACACTATTCTTTTCCTGTATACACAGCATTCTTTTATAATGTTAGGGTGTTACATGGTTCCCTAGGCCATGATAAGGTTCAAACCTTGAACTGTTAGCAAAGATGCAATTGTTCATCATTCCTTACTTTAGTGAGCATACAGTGGAGCATACAGTGTGCAAGGCACTGAAAACAGTTTGAACGGCAGTTGGTTGCTGCAAAAAATGAAATCTCAATTTTCCTTTTCTGAGCTATGAGACTAAAATGTTATCACTATTACCCTAAACATCTTCAAAACGCATAAATGCAGTTTTTATCCTGCCCATCTCTCTTCATTAGGAGAAGTTACATCAAAGAGATCACAAATTACTATACCAGGAGGAAAGTTTACAAATCATCTGCAGTAAATTATAATAGCTTTCAATAAAACAGAAAACATAATCACGATCTAATACTTAGTGTTCAAATTCCCTTAGCATTATTTTTCTATAATTCTCAGTAACAATTTCAATCATTAACAATCCTAAAATGGTACTTTTTCAAATTAAAAACCAGCAGTAAAGCAATCAGAAAATAAACTTTTAAAAACAGATGTTTTGAGAATTAGGTATGAATTTATGAGCCTCAGCTTAAATACTTGGTTCTAAAAATCTTACCATTTCTAAAAGGAGAGAGAAAAGGCAGGAGGAAAAAAGCCACCTGTGTATTCAGTTTCAGAGAACCACCAAACAACATCAAGATTCTTACCCAAACTCTAATGCAAGATTTTTCAAAGAGGAAGAGTGAGGAAATACTGATCAGGCACCAACACTGTGAGTAAGTAAGACTTTTTGTTACCATCACTGTTATTTACTCATCTCATGTTCTCTGTCACATTATTTACTCTTCCTAGGTCAAAAGGCAGTATCTATAACAAACACTGTCACTGTTTTTCATCTTAATTGTAGATGTAGCAAAGTGAAAAAGGATAAAAAACTCTATAGGCTGGAAACTTCAGCTGATTTAAGGAGCCCAAGAAGGAATCCACCAAAACTTATTGCTTTAAGAGAACTCAAAACATATGACTTTCCAATCTTAAGAATCTATCCCAGAACATTGTGAAAAACCTAAATATCCTTCCCCTTTCCCTCATCCCAGTACATTAATCCTTAACATTCTTCGAAAAAAACTCAAAACAGAGGGATATGGTCAACACCTCAGGAGTCAAGCGCACAAAGAAAGATGATGCCTGTTTCTTCATGGTTTAAGCAGGAAAAATGCATTAAAAATACTTTGGAAAGTATTATTTGCTCTCCTTCTTACAAGTTAAATAGGAAATACGGTAGTATGAATTACTGCAGCTAAGAGCTATTTTTCCACATCAACAAAAATGGAAAGTTAATCTTTCATTTCCAATAGTAAGGATAATTAGAGTAAAATTCTTTTTATGGCTAAGAAAATCAGAATCACAGACAATTTTCATCAGATGGGTATTCAAATCTCACTTATCAGAACTTGATGAACCAGACAAAAAAAAAGTAACAGCTGTGTACATGTGGATAGGGCTTATCAGCATTGGAATGAGAAATTGTCTTTTTAGAGAAGTACTATTTTTGATACCACCTATGCCAGTAGATCTAATGTTCATATCAATTTCATGAATCATAAACTATGTGTTTCAAGTCCTTCAGATTAAGTACAGAAATAAAGGTAGCTGATGGGAAAGATTTTTCATAAGAATAAGTGGGTTTTACAGGAGGGGTTTTGAAAAACCTCACTGGCAACTTCTTTAAAACTGTTTCAGAATAAAGATTCATGAGCTGTAAAAATTGTTATGGAAGCTTCTTTGCATTATTAACAGCACTGTATTAAGCCACACTGATGAAACTCAATGTGAGCTGTAAAAGAGAATAATAGCACAGACAGGCTTAGCTCCCTGGGAAAAAAGTACTATTTTATCTGACTTCTCACTATTACATAAAAACTCTGTGAAGTTCAACCCTCCTGCTAAACCAAATTCTGAATTATCATATAACAGGAGAAGTAAGATTTGGAAAAGCTACTGTGCAATTTATAAACTGCAGAAGTGACCTCAGATTACCTGCACAGCTGTTCTTTGACCATTCTTTCTTGAAGATCAGTAGACAAAGCGACTGTACAATTCAACATACAATACCTGTTTTCCTCAGGGTTTTTTTGCAGTTCTTCCCTAAACTTATGTTTTCTTTTTCATGAAAGGGCTAAAATTATGCTAAAAATATTTCAGGAAAAAAACAGGAAATAAAGAAAAATAAAGAAGTTTAAAAAACAACCGAGAAAAGAAAAAGACATAGAATGTGAAATACTTAAGCACAGGAAAAGGAAAGTCAACTTTATGTCAAAACCTTTATATTTCAAGGACATTAAAACACACACTATTCCTCTCGACTGAATACAGTAAATTCAGCTACCAAAACAAAGTACTCTGAATCATCTATTAACCAAATATATTCCAACAGAAAAATTATCAGCTCTGGATCAGGTATGACCAACAAAACACTCAAAGGCAAACAAAACCATGGGGTAACGTGAGTTTTCATTTAAACATTCCATGTAATTTAAACAGAGAGGAATGGAAAAGCAGAGTCACATTATGTATGCACAACACACTCCCCAAACACTCAAATTATTAAAATAGGCTAAAATATTTTCAGATATGTGCAAACACATTTTCACTTCCACCCACATATGGAAAGGTTATGTCAAATGGGCTTGGGGGAACTACAGGTGTTTGTAACAATGTCCAAAACAGTTTCCTTGAACTATATAAGACACTTAGCCACATACTTAGTTCCATATCCAGTTATTTCCACTTAGATTTCTTTACCCCAGGAAGAGAAAAGCTTAATTCATCCCTCAAAAATAATGTCTAAGTTTCAGTGGTCAGCATGCAATACTTTTCAGAGTGCTACAGTTCCACATTAGACCTTCCACCAAATTACTATTTTCTTAATAACAAAACCCCAAGATTCTTCATCCTAAGTTTTTCTAGCCACACATGTTTATTTTGCATTGTCTTTCATAAACTTCAGATAGCATGTTAAAACCGCTGAGCTGGAACAGAAATAAGCTGTCCAAATTTCAAATAATCTGATGTATTAGCTGATTTGCGACTGTGAGAGCACAGGAAAAAGGCAAAGCCACACAGAAAGGAAACTGTAGCCTTAACTTATGAGATTTCAGTGTACCAGTGAGCTTGACCTGCATTCCATGTAAGATGTTGGCTTTGAATCAGAAGTCATACAACACTACATGGATGCCAAGAGTTTAAAAAGAACATGCTGCACTGGGTTTTTTACATCAAATGCATACAGTTCTTTAACAAGATATTGGTATTTTCTCACATACCACAAACTCATTATTCAGATAGCAAAAGCAATGGAAAATCTCTTAGCAGCAGAAAAAAAAGCTGATCAATGAAGGACACACAAAGGGAAGCAGCAAATACACGAAATGGTTCTGCTAGATATTAGCAGATTCTATTATTACTTTAGTAATCTTCTAAATGCTGTCTTCCGCAATCTTTTTTCTCCTGTATTAGTGACAAAATTTTCCTGTGTGGTTGGTCTGTAGAATCTACAGATTCTACAGACAGATTACACAGTAATCTTTGTTACTGTGTTGGTTCTGGCTGGGGTAATTTTGTTCACAGTAGCTAGTCTGGGGTTATATTTTGATTTACATGTTAAAGTATTCTCTTGACAAAGATGATTGCCCATGAAGCAATCTTTATGGCATGCATGTGTGCACATCCTTCTCTAAAATTAAACATGAAATATAAACAGTGAACGTGAATGTTTTGAAGAATTTAGCACCTATTCTAGCAGCTGTACAAGTAGCTGTGAGGAAACAAGACAACTGACACCAAACAGACCAAAGGGATATCCCATACCATACAGCATCACTCCTACCATATAAAGCTGCTCAAAAAGAAGGAAGGGGGAAGATGTTTGGAGTGAAGGTATGTTGTGGTGCCTGGAGTTGTGCTTCCCCAGTTGCAGAACTTTGTTTTCCCCCTTGTTGATCTGCACAAGGCCCCTGTCAAATCCATTTCTCCAGCCTTTCCTGCTGCTCTGGAGGGCAGCTTGACCCTCTGGTCTATCAGCCCATCCTCCAAGACTGGTCTCATCAGTAAGATTGCTAGCCATCACCCAGCTTGTTAATGAAGAAGTGGATGAAGGAAGGATTGGACACACGACTGACCCTAGGGGTAGAGCAGTAGTTACTGGCCTCTAATTAGACTTTGCAAACTGATCACCACCCTCTGGGGGTGATCTTGATTTTAGTAATACACTATGTAAGTCATTGGCAAATCTATTAGGAAGAAATCCAAGCGACAGAAAGGACAGAATTGGTAATAGCATTTACTTCATAATGAACTGAGCATGAAATCCATGCACTACCCTCAATAGTACGCTAAGTACAGTATTTACTTTGCAAATAAGGAATCCTGAAGCCTTACCTATTCTCACCTCTGAACTCCTCCTTAATCAACATTTAAATAAACAGATCTTCTTGAGAATTCAGACACTATTACATACATCAGATGCACTAACCAGATTTAAGAAAAACATATCCTTCTTATCCTGTAGCTCCTTTTTGTGTGTATGCTTTATTCCTCCACAGCTGAAATGCCATTTCACTCCTTTTTAACATTTTGTTCCACTTAAATTGGCGGAGGCCAAATACTTAAGCAACCACAAGCTACTTCACAGGAATTTAAGAGCACAGGCACTCATTCCTATTCTTAATCTACACTGTGTTTTCTGACCCATGAGAGCCAGTGTTCAAGGAAGGTTATGTGCTTGTCAGCCACATACCATGAAAACACTGAAAACTCAAAGCATTATTTGCCTTAAAGTCATCCTGACTGCACTAGTGAAAACAGGAATAAGAATATAATTAGAGGACTACAAGAAGTTTACTACAAAGGACTACAAGAGTTTTAGTTCAACAGAAAAACTGCTGCAATCATACACAATTCCAATATAATTTTTATTGCACTATATTAACATCTGGTTATAAAGCTTCTGATAAAAGGCCCAGTTTTTAAAAGTGCTCCATAAGGCACAATTTAGACCCAGAATATTACAGAACACAGTCAATCCTTTGATTTTCACGTGTATAGCCAAATAAACAGCAGCAAATTCTAGTAAATCTAAATAATCTTCGATGAAGGATGCTTTGATTGAAGTAGTTTATTCTCTTAGCTATCAGTTATAAAAAAATATCGTCTTAAATCTTTCATTTAAAAATTTTTACCCTTTCCTAATAATATACCTTTTTATTTTTTTTAAGAATGAATTGCTTGCTTCCATCTCTTGCTTTATAAATTTTACTTATTTTTTCTGCTTCCTACTGTTTCAGTTGTGTTTGAGATAACTCATTTTATTCAATTTGCACTCTACACAGCAGTATGGCATTCTGTAATTTTTTTATATGAAAGTTGCACAGAAAGTAGGAATGCACATGTTGCCGAGGTTTAAAATTTCAAGGACAGAGAATTTTCTTTATTAAATTGGTCAGGAATTACATTGTGTTTGTTAAAATGAAATTCATATCCTTGATAAAATACTTTTTTTTCTAGGTTTGAGCGTGATGCTTACACCCTTTAGGAGGGCTATCTTTCAATTTTAATCTAAACCTCATCATGGAAAGAAATACCAGAAAAACAAGACTGAACCAGAAACATTCAACAGAGCTGATGTTTATTGCCATGGCCTCTTAAAAAAACTATAAAAAACTTTGATCACTGAATATAAAACAATCCTTATTAGTCTTTGTTCAGGTAGCCTTATCTGCCTCCATTATTATAAAGCATTTTAATGAGATTTTTTGAGAAAATAAATCCTTTCAATTTTGAAACAAGTCAATATACCTGAAACTATACATAAATTTGGTTCAGTACTTTGTTAGCACAAAGAGTAAATTACTCTCTTTTTTCCCTTTTCTCTACAGGATGACATGCCTTGACAAGTACAGGCCACCATTAAGGATGATGCATTCCTTTTGTTATCTGACAGAAATATTGCAATAATCTCTGCTAAAAAATGTTAAAAGCAAATCCTGTGACACTTCTCCAAATTCTGAAGGAATGAGAATGTAACTGAAATGTACCTCTAATATTAGGATATGAAACTCTGCTCTCAAATGTCAATAGCTGCAGGCTGTTGATTAATTTAGTGCACATACAATAAATACATTCATTTCCTGTAAGTATGTCTTTTGCATATTATAAACATTCCCTTTCAATTGTGATCAATTTCCTTAAAAAAAACTGAAGATGTATTTTGACATTTGAAAATGCATGTATTAGACTTTAACCACGCCCATGAAAATTACAGCTTTAGGCCAAAAACCAACGCCCAAAGATCACTACCACCAGGTGCTTCTTGGCATTTCTACAGAATGCCTGGCCAAATTGGTGGGTATCACACAGGTAAGCCAGGGTGCCACAGGAATCCTCTCTGGAGTGACAGATCTAGCCAAGGTAGAGCTGCAATAACTGCATCACTCCCTGCTACAGGCTTCTTCTGTCTTTTGGATTCCTGCTCCTCAAGAGCTGTCCTCAGGTCAAACAGACTCAAGATGATCTTCCCTACAGGGAGCACCATTATTGCCACTGCTTCCCTCTGCAGCACCTTAATTGTCTCCAGCCATGAAATGAGCATCTGTAATTGTGTGACAGCATTACTTTGTGATAAACTTGGCCTTTTAAGTCTCCTTGTTTCTATTCAGTATCTCCCAGCAGGCTGAAGAGTGCTTCCCTGAAACAGAGACTGCTCAGCAGCCTCCTTCAATTCCTCCTCCTCCTGTGCTTTGCTGGCCTGAGGGGCACACAATACCTGAACTCTAAGCACATGTGTTGTCTGCAACAGTGAACCTCAGCTTGCTTTGCTAAAATAAAACAAGCCTCCCCAGAAAATCCATCAACAAAAAATTAGCATAATTTCAGATTGTTACTAATGGATTTTCATGAAGAAAATCTAACTTAAATTTACAGCTCTTCACAATTTTCTTCCAAGTCTAACTCATCAATACATTCATACCTTGCAAGACAGCTTCAGATCTGCAGAGAATTTTCACGTGACTTGCAAACTTATTTATCAGCACTAGAAACATTAATAAGAAATGCCTGTTTTTTTTTCTTTCAGCACTTTTCTTTCATCTCATCATTTATGATTGATCCATCATTTTCCTATGTACACAAAACATATCAGACCATATCACAGGCTTCTTTGTCACATAAAAAAAACCCCAGAATTTTAAAATTAAAGTTACTAGTAACAAACACATGGCTTAACTCATCTGACAAAGCAGCAGTTAATTTTTTTCATAAGTTCAGAATTTGAATTAACTACAGAGCATTCATATACCATGAGTATTTCAGCACTAGTGAAATAGTAGTAGATCTTCAGAGCAAATCAACTGGTGCTCAGAATCTGAAACATGTATTTGGGAGAAAAGCATCATTTCAGGCTAAATCTTTCCTGATTCTAAAAACTGAGCTCCCTCCCATGAGCAGCTGTGCATCCTGGGCAGATTTGCTTCAAAGGTGTATTTACGATCCAAATGAAAACTTTAATACATGTACACTTAAATAAAAATGGTATCCCTTATTTTTTTGATCATTCTCTGTTCTAGTAGTCAAACTGAAGCACATTCACACCTTAATACAGGTGGTGTAATCTGTAAAAATATAAAAAGGAATTATATTTCAAGAAATCTATCAACCTCAAAAACAGGAGGTCAAAGATCTTAGAAGGTTAAAATACATCCAGTATGGTTAAAACAGCATTTTTATATAATGAAGTCATTGGGTGTGCTTTGAGTTACTCAGCGGCTCTGTGTGCCAGTCAATCCACCAATAACAACCTGAAGAACATAATGTACACTTTTTTAAAGAAGATTATAAATAAGTATGAGACACTTTTCCATTAAAGAAGTTACTAGCAAATATCTTTTTAATGCCATCAGTTTTTCTAATTTAAATTCTATTATTACAGAATCATTAAAATTCCAAGCAGGCAATTCAGTCTACATGAAATGGGACATGGGACAGGCCTTTTGTGACACAATTAAGCCTGTTCAAGGGCAACATCACAGAAGGTGAACACTAATTTTCCTAATATAGTAAAGGAGAATGAATGACTGTGGGAAGGAAAGAAAGCAAGAGCAAACTAAAAAGAATAACTTTATTTTTTCTGTGAAGTTTGTCGTATTTAACTTTCAATTTCTAAATAGGTTATTACAGGGACAGCAATTTGCATAAGAAGATTAAAGATTACATGAAATGACAATGACTGCTCTGCAGCTATAATGCAAAAACAGTCTTTGCAGATGCCAAATGAACTTTAAGGAAATGATTAAAGACATCTTGATAATAGCACATGATGCATAAATTACCCCCAACACTAGGTGTCAGAGTGCATATCCTACTTCTGAAAACGACCTGAAATGTCTCCACTTTCCCATATGAAAGAGTTCCATGCAAATTAAAAAGGAAAGTTCACAACCATCTTTTGCTTAACTCTGAAGTACATCTTTCAGAATACTGCAAATAGTTTTTATCATATGGGAGAAGTAAAACCACCATAAAATTATAGCTCAAACCAAAACAATGAAAACATTTTTGAGAACAGTTGCTCTTAAAAAATTCAAATCATGTAGCTAACACCCTTTTCAACACTGCCTTGTTTGGCTCAAACTGCTGGTCAGGAAGCACTAAGTATACTATACATTGGTTTTACTTTACACCAAGTATTAGCAGCTCTAGAAACTGACATCCTATTTCATAAATTCATGAAAGCCTACATGCAATTGCAACATGTATATTTAAAAAAATCTATACATTCACTTTCCTGTCATCCAATACTTTTCTTAGTACTAACAGTCACCCTTTCCATTACTTTACATAACATACCAGAACAGAAGTAAAAAGGCTTACTAACCCAAAGGACTCTTGAATATTAAGACTGATGCACACCAGGACAAGATCAGTCATATGAAAAAACAGATGCAGCCTGTGGATTTTACAAATAGATGCCGATTACTTCCATAATTTTTGGGAAACCTGAGTAACTGAAGTAGTTGTGCACTGCACCTCAGATCAACTATCAACTAACACAATTCTAGAGGAAATATTATTATTTCCACTAATTTTTAGTTAATACTGAGCTTAGTTGATACTAACTCAAGTCAACAAACCCAGGGAGGAGTGGACCCACTTCATTTTCCCCCTGAATAGAGGAAAAACAAAAGGCCTGTTGGAAGTTTGGGATTTTCCTTTCATTATCTTTCTCGTAGAGAATTATTTCCCATTTTGTTGCTGAGAGACATAATGACCAGGTACTTAAAAGAAAAAAGAAGTTGTCCCAAAAAGGTGCGGGTTAGTTACTCTCTTATGTGAGGATTTCTCTCGGAAGGGCACAGACACCCTAAGAACTGAGCTGGAAATAAGGAGGGCTGGGGCAGCTGCGAGCTCCATCTTGCTCTCTCGGCTCTGGAGAATGGTCGGAGCTGCCTCCTGGGGGGGAATTCGCTGCTGCCACCAGTGCGGTAATGGTGAAATGACCAGGAATGTCTTTTGGGAATATGTTTCTTCTATAAGATAGGGACTAGAAAAATTATTCGGCTATAGTTACCCTAAACTTAACTCTATGAAGAGAAAATACAAAATGAAACAAAAAAGGAAGGAGTAAGAAACCCCCCATCATCAAAGTAAGCAACAGAGAATGAAAAATGAATGCTGTTTTACAGATAAGGTGTTCCAGTTTATCAGACAATAACTAAGATTATGTGATAATATTCTATACTACTGTTTTACATTTGCTGAAACAGGGCTGCTCTCACATTATGTACAGTCACATTTAAAACAAACACGGTATTAAAGAGAGAGAGAAATTTGCAAACAGTCTTAAAAAAATTCATTTTGAGTTTGACTATCCCTTATTTGTAGCTTAAACCATTTATATCAAAAATAATTACACATTAAAATTAATGTTCTCTGCTTTCACATGTGATCTAGAATGAATGTAAGCAGTAACTTATGTTCAATGAAGCATCAGTTTGGTAATCAGCAAGATACTAACCTAAAATGTGTATTTCCAATGTCCCACTCTTAAAATTTTAAAATTATATAGAATAGTTAAGGGCAGATAAAGTGCAATTTTGAGAAAAAGAACATACTTGACTTGACTAGCAGGAAAAAACTAGGATCTTGTAATAGGTAACTAATGGTGAAATATAAATCGTCGTACTTCCTAAAATTTTGATGAACATGGGTTTGAAACCAGTCTTGAAAAAATAAATATATCAAGAACAAAAGGCTTATCCATAGCTGAGATGCAAAGATACAAGTGGAGTTGCCTTATGAATGAAGTATCAGCTAGATAAATACTAACTGTAAAACTGCTGGAAGAACTCAAGGAGACTCTCAAAACACTGATACAGTTTAATATTAAGTCCTTTTTATTTCCATCCTGAAAGACTTTCTGCAATAGCTTCCTGATTAAAAAGTAAATTTTTGTTTCAAATTTTCATTGATACTGGAATATCAGTACCTTTTCTTGTATCTAACTTATTTTTGCAATATGAAATAGGGACAAAATGCAGTTGTCATAAGTCTTCCAAAATTTCATGAGACCTTCTCCATTGTATAAAATAGATTTTTTCCTTTATAAAAGGAACTAAAATGAACTACTACTTTGAATTACTTAGTAGGGAAATCCAAATGGGAAACCAAAAATAAAAGTATGAGGATACTTGATAAGAAGTTGAATGCTGTTCTTTCAAAACAGCAAAAATTCATGGTAAGAATCAGGATGGAGAGCTGTTTCAAGTGAAAGTATTGCACAGAGGTGAGAAGTTTAATAGAGATCAAGAACAGAGTCACAAAATAAATAAAAATTAAAAATTTGCTGAGAAGTTCCATAGAAGCTTATTTAAATAGTAACAGAAACCCCCAAAGTTATTGTCTGTCAAATAAAGGTTCTGGAATGTATGCATTACCTTAACAACAGGATTAAGCAGAACAACACCCGACTTCTTTGTAATAACTTGCTTCGTTGTGTAATGATGTTCTATAAGCTGAGGAATAGTTGGAAAGCCAGTTCCCTCAAAACGATATTGATTCTGTATGGAGGAAAAGGAAAAACTTATTTTTCTATAAGCAATAGTTTGAACAAGAAACTGCAAAAGTGCTTGACCAAACTTTCTTCATTAGTAACAACACAGAAAAAAAATGTACATTTTTATAGAGTTATTTTAGATGTCTTTTCTGATTTATTGAGTAGCATTTATACTCACTTAACAAGAATGGCAGTTATGAAAATGATAAATTAATAAAAGAAAAATGACTGCATCAGTCATTTAAGGCAATATGATAAAATAACTATTTAAACTCGTAATTTAAATAGATAGGCCAGTTAAAATCAAAATTATTACAGAGTGAAATAAAAATATTATAAACCAGAAAAAAACAACACCAACTTCTTATTTATTTCTAAAAATTACAGCAAGCAAACTAAAAAATCTATATGATAAAATACAACAAGCAATAAAACAAACAGGAGATACACAATAGCTATCCTAATCTCATCTTCCTGTACTTAGTGTCTCCTAAAATTAGTAAATCCCTGGCACAGAGTATAGAATGCATGATTGGTCTGTAAAAAGAGTATTTATCAGGAATGTCTAAACGAGCTAGAGACAAAGGCAGGTGATACACAGGCTTCAAAGGGAAGTTGGGCAGGATCCTGCAGCTGATTATGAAACACGATAAAGTCTCTTGCTTTCCTAAGTCTCAGCATCTACAGACAGAGAGCTTTTCCCAGAAGGCAGTATCTGCCACAAGCCTGACAATGCAACAATGAACAAGTACTGCTATTTTCAAAACTCAGAGCACAGGTGGTGATTCAAGTTCATTTGCACAAATGGGCAATGAACACCTCTACCACTGGCATGCTTTCTTTCTAGCTTGAAGGGCTGAATTCCTTACAGAGTGACTTTAAGTTCATTGTTTCCTTGAGGGTTAAAGCATTAACTTCCTGAAATGTGTCATTGCTGTTGGTAAAGACAGCAGGGTCTTGTCAGCTGTTTTTAACATTCACCGATCTCTGTCATAAAAATGTTTCCACAGTCTGAATGTTTTGTTGTTTGTTAAATAGTGACTCAGCTTTGATTGACCACTAAGACTAGTTCCCATTCCTTTAAAATAAGCTCCTTCATACTTCTGATGATGATCCAAAAAATCTGCTGTCCTAAGAGACTCCTCAGCACAACTACCACTATTGCCTATAATTTCCTCATTCCAGATCCAGCCACTGCCCATCTGCTGCCATTTATGTAAAACCTTTAGAGCAGAGCCACTGTCCTTTCATTCTGTGTATTTATACCCAATTGTGACCCTTACTAAGATCACTAACAAACAAAAATTTTTAAATGGCACAGTCTCAAATAAGCAGAAATGAAAACAATGATAGCCTTGAATGACAGCAATGAATTTTTATGCTTAAAGCTGAATGATGAATTAATTTATCACACACATAATTGTATCAAGATTAGCTTTTAAAATAATGGTAAAACCAGAGAGAGAATACTTAAACAACTGAAGGATTGCTGTTAAAACAGATGTCCTGCTCTAATCTTCAGTACTTGAATCAGAAAAAAATATGGGAACCTGTCAGTGATCCAAGAGTGTGGTTTGACCAGTCAGAAACCCAAATCTACATTGTTCATACCAATGTAAACAAACCAGCAAATCCTTTGTAGTAAACCCTCCTTAAACCTGCCTACAAAAATGTACATGAATAAATCCCTCATTACGTGACCCTAACACTCCCAACACCTATTTTCTAGAGCTTAATAAAGCTAACCAGCCTTCTAAAGCTAATAAACTTTTTCCTCATTCTCAGAAAATTCACTGAATAGGAATGCATACAGTGGACACAGCATCTTGAAGAAAAAAAGAAAGTGTTAACTTCCATGATTGCCAAGAAAATCTACTACAAATTAATCCCAAGAGCAACTGAACAAAATGCTTGTAGATTAGTAAATGTACAAGCAGGTAAATATCTCGACCTGACAATGCTGGGACTGTCCAGGCCATGCAACAGTTTCAGTCTTACATTTCAAATTTAACTGCTAGATTCTATGGAGAGAAAGATAGCTTCTTTTGTTTTGTTTTGCTTTGGTGGAAACCCTCCTACACAGACACACAAAAGAAGAAGTCAGCTTACAGGTAGGCCCCAAAGCAATAGTTGAAACTTGGACTTGAAAGTCCAATCTATATTTTCAAGATGTACTTGCACATACAGTGATTTGTACGAAATTATTTCAGTTAGACCACATACATAATGTCCTTTTATTTCTGCTGGGTCAGATCAGGGTGCACCAAGCACCTTGTAAGATTCTAGGTAGAGGTAATTTTATTGCTTTAATTTTCTCATTTAGCAGTCTGACATATCAAAATACTTTAACGTCATACAATCAAAATAAAATAAACACTGATTGTGTGTTCACTTCTACAAGGAAAATTGTAGGTGAGAACTAATGAACACTCTCCAGCATGACAAGTGTCCATAATCATTAATCCTAGAGAAGCATTGCAAACTCTGTGAATCTCAGAAAAATACTGCTGCTTCTCAAAAGAAAATAAACCAGGTACACAATACTGAGTTACCCCAGGCATGCTGCATCATCTGGGGATTCAGACAATGAAATTCCCTCAGTGTAGTATCATTATGCAATTAAATTTGAGAATTTTTCTGTACATGGGAAACTTTATTACAAGAGACTGAAGAGACAGCACTACTGAATCAAAACTGAGAATGATTTGCTGCAATTTCATACTTCAAGAAAAATTTCTAGCAATGTTATGGGAACTGTCACATTTTGAATAAGTTTAAAATTCGGCAAGGTAAAAAGAAACTTACATACATTAAAAAAACCAAGCAATGCATTAAGAATAAAAACCCCACACTCTATAAAGGTAGATAATTAATATATTGTTCATTAAGTCATCGATTTTTCCTCAGAGCAACAAGGGGGTCAATTCTGGTCCTTAGAAGCATACACACTGTGCAACATCCAAAAGTGTTTGTGTTATACTGAACAAAACAATTACCACAGGACTAAAAAGAAAATAGGCACCCAAAGTGCAACAGGGACTTCAATTCCCATGTTTACAAAAAACCACACAGATTATTTTCTTCTGCATGGCTATTTCAATTTTTCAGGAAGATGCAGTGGGATCATTACAGTCTGAACTAGAAGTAGCTAAATTTGCACCAACTATGAAAATGGGTAACCAACCAATCAATAACCAAATGTAAATGCATAAATAAACAGTAACAATTTCCAGATTTCAAAACATTTACAGAAATATCTTGGCTTTTCAGTATAAGACAAAAGATACTGAATAACTTGATACTTTCTACTTTTCCTTTATTTCCCAGAATGACCTTTACTCCTGATTACAGCACAGATGGAAATATTTCTAACAGCTTTCATATTTGCACATAAAGGCTAAATCCATTTGCTACAGCAAACTATGTAGATCCTAACTTGAATATTCAGTACTATATCAGAGACGTACATCAGCATATTGTATGATAAAGTGTCTCCGTTGTCCATCTGAAAACACAGAAAGGACATATTCACCAGGTTTCCCGTGGCTCTCTCGCACCAAGAAGTCTCCTTGCTGCTTTAACAGCTCCTGGGCTTCTATTCTTGGAATTGCACCATGATACCAGTCTTGCTCAGCCAATGGTTTCTCAGTGGTTGAGATTACATCAAAGAACTTGGGAAAAATATTGAAGAAAAATGTTACTATAACAGTACACTTTAAGAATTTCCTTGCACATGAAAAGTACCACAAACAACAATAATTTCTGTTTTATGTATCTAAATTATGTATTTCTATTAACCAACAAGATCAAGGCTCTTACAGCTCTTACACTTGCACAAAAGCATGTTGGTTGCTTTCTTTTCTTTTTACCTGAAAAATCAATATATCAAAAGCAGAAGTTTAAGGAATCATCTATAAAGCATGCAATATTTTTCATCTAGCTTGCAGTTTTTCGTAAGCCATACTGACCAACTCTTTCTCACACATTCTGACATGTTATTAACAACTGAAAATTAATAATTTCTCTATCCAGACAGAAACTTCTCAGACAAAACCATAACACATTGAGACTCATACAAAGCACTTGAATTGGAAAAACTGTTTTCAGAGTTCATCAATTGCATCCCAAATCAATTAACAATTATGAGCCTTTTTTCCTAACACGTACCCTGTAGAGCAGAGTACACACTTGGGTGTAGTGTCCTTAGGAACTCTACTGTAAGACACAAAGATTGTAAGGAATTGTTTTCACTACATGGAATTGGCTGCAAATGGAAGCTACTAGCTATAAGTGGAAGCTAATGAGTTTTAATCTATTATTTCACACGTTAATTTTAACATGCCTACATTGTTTAACAAAACTCTGACTAAAACTTTGTATTTTGTCACTGACCACTTCAGACTTATTTATTCCTACCTTTGGGTAGGAAGGCAAGCCCTCATTTAAGCTGTATGTAATTCAAAAGCTCATAGAAATTCTCACAGCCAGAGTGGTAAAGCTCTGAACAATGTAACACAGCACACACTGCGAGTAGAACAGGTATGTGGATGTTTCCCAGACTCCTGAAGTGCACCTAGGCAACGGCACAGAGATCTCTGTCTCAGTGAAGCACAATCAAACAGATGCAAGCAAAGCAATACCATTCTGAATTAACCTCTGCTATTGCTCTGCCCTGATAACACCCCAGGCTAGGGCCATCTGTACATTTAAGGTTCTTCTTCTCAGAAGATACTTAGACTACAATGCCTCACCTAGTCCAAAAAACACTAGGAATGGTCTCAGACTCAGAGAGTGGAAATGAGCAGACACAAGAATGGGAATCTACACAGGAATTCTTGTTTCCAAATATCTGCAATTCTTTAGTACTTGCACATATTTTTAGCTGTTAAAAATATATTTGTCAGCTTCCAGTTGCCTAAGTTATACTTCAAAGAACCAGTTTAGTTCTTTGTCAGGATCCTTGGCCAGGATCTTGACGGAAAACTGGAGAACATATTTAAGAACCTGACAGACCCTTGTAGTCTCAGGTATCAACAGAGAGAGAGAATCATCATGGATGAAATTCAGGAGAATTTCAGACCTGAGATTTGAAACAAGTGCTATAAACCAACAGGCTGATCACAAGAGAGAGTGTGCTCTGTTACAGAGTCAGAGATAGGAAGCACTATGTAAGAAATAACTACAGCTTGAACAAAAATTGCACAGAGTTTTTAGAGGCAAAAGCTGTACTCCAAGGTTATGTGTTTATCAGCACAATGAGCTGTTTAAAAGCAGAGATATTGATTGGCCAAGAAGATATGACTATCTTTCAATTTCATCAACAGTTAAAAAACATCCCAGGTGAAAACTGTTCACCACTGTTAAATGACATTATGACATTTTCTTTCACAAATTTCTAAAAGAAAGAGAAAAGCTTTCAAAATGTTAGACAATGTTATTTACTTGAACATTTATTTCAAGTAAGTATTTTTTTATTTATTTATTCAAATATTCTGAGCTTGACTTAACAGAAAACCTCGATCTCTGTTATGTTCAGAGTAGCAAACTCTTTAACAGGAGCAGATTCCTACTTGAGAGGGAATGCTCCTAAGGATAAAAGGACAGTACAGGGTGACTGATCTACTTCATGGCCTTCATGAAAGAAAGTTTAAAAAAAAAACCAACCAGACATGCAATTCATTTATATCTTAAAAATGAAGCCACCACATTGTAAAATATGCTTATGTACAACTGGGTTCAGGCTGAGGCACCATTCAGACAATCAGGATCAAATCTCAAAACAAAGCATCTTAAGAGCCTTTATGACAGAGAAAGAGTTTATGACCATTTTAGACACAGATAACAATGGTATTGTCTATAACTCTATCATAAATTTTCCCTCCCTTTAAAATTTGATTGAAGTATTGTTTATTACTTCAGAAAGAAAGAGTGGAAGTTCCATGGACTTTTCTTTGTTGATGGTCCTTCAATTTACCTTACCTTACCTTTAAAAGGTGGCTTTTCTAATGAAGTAAGCAGCAATTATTTTTGTCTTCAATGTTATTAAAATCACATTATTTTTATGAACAAGTCTTCTGATTCCAACATATTTCCTCTGTGATACAATATTGACCCTAACTGGCTATAGAATAAAACACGGCTGAAAGACTAGAAAAAAGAGTACCAATGCAGGATATATATCTACTTCAATATTGATTTCAATTCAGTTTACTACTATTAGTACTTATATTTCTACTGCATTTTATAGTTAGAATTAGACGATAGATTAGTCTTCAAGGAAAACAGAGGAGGAAAAAAAACCCTACCTGCACAAAATGAAATTTTCTTTAAACTCACTCACTGCTTTTCTTTAGACTCTACTTAAATATCAGCCAGCAAGTTAATATGACAAGTTTATATTCTAGGCCATAATGTTTTACAATCTCATTTGGGGATGGATCTCTTGCTCATTTGTATGTACACTTACAGAAGCACTCAATGATTCAATAGCCTAAAGGAAGAAATATTGCTTCTAGGATTTGTTAATTTTGCTGGAAGGTAACAATAATTAACCAAATTGTGCAAAGAGAAAGGAGCTCACACTGCAAATTTCAACTCTCCCTCTCCCCAACTTTTTGTTTATTGCCTATCTCTAAGATTTCCATTGCCCTTTAAGATCTCCATTTATTGCCATATTGCACTGTCATGGTTTGACTAGGAAGGAGTGAGAATTCTGGGAAGCTGTAGTCAAACTAATGAAGGTTTTGGGTTTGAGACTGGCGTCCGGTGTGGCTAGTGGAGTTTAGACACACTTCTGAGAATACACAGGAGTTAAAAGCAGGGCACTGCTCTTAGAACTTCCTCTTTGAGACATCGTCGGGCGAAGAGGTCAGATCTCTTCCCCCGCCCAGCCCGCTGCTGCTGGGCGGGGGAGGGGCCGGCCAT